TAAGGATAGCATGAGTATAGTCTGCACGGATTTTCTGGATTTATAGGGAAATCCTTCAAAAAGAACAGTGTAGTAGGAGGCTATAGAGACTGATATCTAGTTTCACCTCCCAATTTTTAAAGTCTGAGCATGTGCCAGGACAGCAGACAGGTCTTGAATGTCAGCTCTGACAGATTTGCATTGGCTGCTGGGCAACTGCAACAAGGCGGCTCCCCAATGGGAGGGAGTAACGTGATTGATTAAGAATGTCTGCTGTGGGCATAGGAAAGTGGATGGCAGCATGGAAAACAGATGTTTGTCATCTCTGGGCACATTTTTAACTTCTCTGAGTATGTTACATCACCTACAAAACAAGGTTAATAAAACCTTACCTGAGCGAAGGTAGGAGACTGGCCAAGATAGTTTTTTGATGTCCTCAGAGGGCACATTCCACCCCCGATGCATATATGCCAACTCATTTTATGCACACTGCTCCATCATGTAGTCATGAAAATTCATTAGTATGTGTGGGATGGGGCTATGGAAGGGAACTCAACAGATTGAGTCATTGAAAACTGCTCCTAAAAAGAGCAGAGACTTTGACAGAAAGAATGAATCATTTACTGGCACTTAAAGGTGCCAATCATCACTGCCCTACCAACCATCTGTGAGCTGATTATGCCTCCTGGCCTATAAGTCCAAGGCCTGTATTTCTCAGTCTGGGATATGTTGGGGAGGCATGAGTCCTCAGATAAACACGCCTCCTCTTTTCTCTGGCGATTTGGGGAGTACGAGCAATGTATTTTTCTTAAGGTAGACAAGATGCACTCAGAATCCCAGTGGGAAATAGATGGTCTACTTAAAAGGGTTTTATTGAAGGGATTTTAATAGAGATTGTATTTACAGAAGTCCAGTCAGGATTAAGGGAACTAACAAGCGGTGTGAGATAATCAGTGACTAGCAATGCCAGGGCCCATTACCACTCCTAGCCCTGAGCAGATGACAGGAGGGGCAGGTGTTACTAGAACCTGTGAGTGCCATGGCTGATCAGGAAGGCTGCTCACTGAGCCATGGCTCCAGGAACTTAGTTGCTGCCCAGACTACTGCTGCACAGGGAGAAGGTGGGGCGTTAATCCCCGAATGGTCTCTCCTCTCTTCTGCTGATAGCCTGTCAGAGGGTAAGGGAGCAGGGTGGTACAGACATGGATGACAGACCCGCAGGGCCTTGCAGCAGGGCAGGACAGGGTGAATAATGGCCCTAGAAGGGCAAACGGAGAAGGCCCAGCACTCAAGAGTAGACCTATAACGTGGAATACACATGTAGAATCACGTACATTTTAAAGATGTCACATCACAGGTGAACAAGGAGGAAGAAGGGAAGACCGATGTGTGGAAACCACATTCATCTTAATTTGGGGGCCAGGCATCAGCTGAGAAGAGGGAATTTGAGGCTTTTGGGAAGATTGTTTTCTGAAGTGATAATCTAATGTTTTTCTTTAATTTTAAGACACCCCTACTGACCTCAAAGCAGATGCCTCCATGAGGGCAGAAAAAAGGCCTACAACTGCACTGCGTGGGGGGCAGCCTGCAGCTGCATGTGGCTGCTTCAAATTTTAAATGAAACTAATTAAAATGAGATATAATAAAAATTCAATTCCTGAATCACACTAGCCACATTTTAATTGCTTGTCACGCATGGTTATACTGTATTAGTGCGTAACGCCTCCATCACCACAGCCAGTTCCGTCGGGCCGGCTGGCCTGGATCCTTGCACATGGCCCCGGATGGGCTGGGGCCTGGCAACAGGATTCAAAAGCTGTCTTCACCCACGGAATCCTCTCCTTGACGACAAAGGACTCTATCTTGGCTCATACAGTTTTCCTGTGCAGCCAGTAAAATATTAATGATGATGATGGCAGCAGCTCACATGCATTTGGTTCTTAACGTGAGCCAAACAGTGTGCCAAGGGTTTTATCTCCGTTGTAACGATGCAGCAACTGAAGCTTAGAGAAATTCAGTGACCACACATTATTAAATTACACTATATAACATTGCCAATATTCAGCTGGTCTTGATGAAAATGGCAATTTCACATGATTCAACCTCACAGTACATGGCTGAGCCAGGTTTCAAATCCAGATCCAAGGACTATGTCAAGTTCAATGTGGCTAAACCTGTGTAAGTGACCACCTTGAAACTTACTTCAGAGGGCTTTTCAAGGATTAGGTGACATTGGTTCTGTGCCTGGGGCACAATGGGGCTCCTGGAATGTGGGTTTTTTTGTTTTCACTCCCTTCTGTCTGTCAGTCTCATTCTCTTGGGAGGCAGAGTGCAGCTGTTTAAACAGATGTGGCTACTGAGATTGGGAGGAGGAGGCTGCTGTCATTTACCAGATCCCCTCCCAGGGACCTGGAAAAGTTCATCTTCCTCACCAAGACCCCCTGCACCCCTCCCCCCAGGCTCCAGCCCCCTCTCTCGCAGGGAGTCTCTTCTGCGGGGCTGGTCAGGGTCATTCTCTCTGGGTCTTGAGCGGAGGTGGGATGATGGACACTGCGCGATTCCTCTTCCCTGCATCCTTAACAGCCCCAGCAGATGCACTTCATCAACTAACCCCTCCCCTAGGGACCTCAGACGGAGCTGGAAGGCCAGAGGTGGACTGGGAGGGGCAGCTGCTGCACTGAGCTTGTCAGGTGGTTATATAAGCTGTGCTTCGGCCTCCTGCTTGTTGTAACTCTGTTTTCATGATTCTTGCTGGCAAGGAGCCTGATTCAAAATTCCTCCCTCTTACTTGGCAAGAGGAAGAGAAGTCTCCTTGCTGGAGGGCCCTGCTATTTAGGTGGGGTGTTAGGGTTTGGGGGTAATTTCCATCCATATGAGGAACCTTTGTCTTTCAGAAGCAATAGTATAGGCTTGGCCGATCTAGCAAATGAAAACATAGGATGCCCAGTGAAATTTGGATTGCAGATAAACAATAGATTTTTTTTTTTTTTTTTTTAGTGGAAGTGTGTACCATGTTATAATTGGGACATTTATAAACTGAATTCTAAAAAGGATTTTTTTATTTATCTGGAATTCAATTCACTCGAGCATTCTGTGTTTTATCTAACAATCTTCCAATAAATATGGGACTTCTGTCTATCCTTCAGACACCAGTTCAGTTACGCTGATGTTAAGGACACAGAGGAGTAAGAGGGAGGGAGATCTAGATCTGGGTTTTTTTCAGCTGTACGCTAGCTTCACATTCATAGCTCCCTGTGGGAGGGGCAGAGGGAAGTGAGTTAGACCCATGGTTCTCAGGCTGTGGTCCCTGGACCAGCAGCATTGGCATCCTCTGTTGCTTGGTAGAAACACAACTCCTCAGGTATCACACAAACATCCTGAATCATAGGCTCTGGAGGTAGGCCCAGTAATCTGTGTTTAACAAGCCCTCCAGGGGAGGCTGATGCAGTTTGAGAACTACAAGTTTAGACTTCAAGCAAGGGCCTTAGGGATCAGACTGACCAGGGCTGGAAACCCAGTCTCACTATTTACTGAGTCTGTCAACTTGGCTGCATTACTTAACCTCTCTGAACTTCTGCTTCTTTCTAAATTAAAAAAAAAAAAGTGTTTTCCCCTAAATAAAAAAAGAAGATAATACCTAAGTTAGGGATATAGCAAGATGAAATTAAGTTATATATTATAAAATACAACCCACAATGCCTGTAATTGTAAGAACACACAAAAAGATTACTCATTTATACAACATAAGTGTAGGTCCAGTCATAGTGTAGGTCCAGTCATGTACAACGTAAGTGTAGGTCCTGAGACAAATTTGATGGTCAGCACAGCAAAAGTTCTAGTTATTGGGGCAATCAACATTTTCTCAGTTCAAACAAGCCATTATTTCCGGGACTCCAATTTCCGGGACTTGTCTGTGGAAAAAGGAACGGCGGCAGGGAGAGGAAGGGCTGACACCTGTGCAGAACTGGTTCTCTCCCCCATGGACAGAGCCCAGAGTGAAGGGCCACGTCAATCTATTCCCTTTGCTCAGTTCTCTGCCCAGAACGGTCTCCAAAAGGTGTAGATTTTAGGTTTGTTTTTCTTTTTTCTATTTTTTTGACAAAAGGTGAGGATATGTGGGGGGTCCTATCAAGGGAGGTGGTATTAACACACCTCACCATGTTTCACAGGCCAGGTCTGGGGGCTTTCATGTTAAATCTAGACCAGGGTTTCTCAATGGCTCTATTGATACTTTGAGTCATGTAATTTTTTGCTATGGGGCTCTCCTGTGCCTATTTAGCAGCTTCTCAGGCCTCTGCCTACTACATACTGTGGCCCCCTCATCCTCCCTCATAATGGTGACGATCAAAACATCTCTAGAAGTTGACAAATTTCCAGGGAAGTAAAGGTGGGTGGACAATGACCAAAGCTCCCTAGGTTGAGAACCACTGATCTAGGGAACCTACTAGACAGTACCCACTCAAATAATTTTAACAGCTTTCCTTTACTGAGCACTTACAAATATTATCTTCATTCCCCATGCTCATATTACAAGGTAGTTCTTATTACTGGCTTTTTACAGTTGAAGAAACGGAGGCTCAGACAGTTAAAGTAACTTGTCCCAAATCCTGTAGTGGGTAGATCTGGGCTTCTGACTCCGGTTGGTCTAACACCAAAGCTCATACAGTGCCTGCTGCAATATTCCCTCTCTGTGAAAAATTAAGGATTTATTTTCTTTAATGTATGGAAATTCTTCTCTAGTCCACTCAGGTCCAAAAATATTTATTGAGAAGGAATGAGAAGCTGTAAGAGAAATCTAAGATGGCGTTCCCCTCAAGGAGTTTTCAATATCGATGTCATTGGGAAGGCCAGACTCTCCCACAACACAATGTGTGGTGGTCCGATTTGGGTTAAAATAAACATTTGTGATGTGGAACTCGGTGAACTGAATGCCCTTCGTGTATGTCTGCCTCTCGTGTTCTCTCACTGGCAATCCTGATGATAAAAAAAAAGAAAGGAGGAAGGAAGCCTTGAAGGACATGGGATCTACAGCCACCTGTCCTGTGGAATATTAATTCTCTTGCCTTGGGGTGGGCTGTGAGTTGCTTTTAGCCAAACACTCAGCCATCTTCTTTCTGGCTCGCTGCATGAAGTTCACCTTTCCCCTTTCCCTTCGTATGGCGGTGTACTCATAAGCCTTGAGCTTGCTGTAGTAATCAGAGAATTTGTTGTAGAGGATGGAAATTGGCATCCCATTGAGGATAATCCCAAAAGCAATGCAGAGGAAGGCAAAAAGCCTGCCCAGGTGGGTCTCTGGGTACATGTCTCCATAGCCCACCGTGGAGATGCTCACCTATATAGGAAAGAAAGCAGGATGCAATTGTTAGCACCGTGAGGGGGGAGAAGAAAGGGAGAGTATAGGCAGGAAAGTGGTCTGTCTCCCTGCAGGTGCACATTGGTCGTGTAACAGTTCCCAAAGGAGCCAGTTTTAGGTACCAGAGAGTTTGCCTGCAGCACCCCTGTCATGGAAAGAATACAAGCTTCAGAGGTGGAATGCTTAATTTTAAATCCTGACTCTAACTTCTGAATTTTCTTATATATATTACCTACTTGAAAGGGTGTTGTGATGAGCAACTAAGACAACAAGCATAAAGTCCCTAGTGTAGAAAGGGCTCAATAAGTGCTGATCTTTGCCTCCCCTCAGCTGGGGCCACCTTTAGGACTGGGAGCCCTGGGTTCGCATACGTAATATACAGGCTGAAAAGAGCTCAGGCTTAGAACCAGTGAGACCTGGTTCAAGTCCTGACTCTGACCCTTCCCAGCAGAGTGATCTTAGGCAAAACATTTAGGGTCTTTAAGCCTTGGCTCCTTAATCTGAAACAGGAGGGAGGGTATTACTTAACTCTCAGGTTTCCTTTACAGACCAAGTAAGAAAATGAAGCACTTAACACAGTGTCATGCACACAAAAGGCACTAAACAACCTCCTCTGTTGTCCTTCTCTCATCTTTAAAATGGAGACAATTATAACACTTCTTAGAATTATTATGTAGCCCAGGTGAAATATTTTATATAAAGGTGCTTTAATTGCAAAAGTATGGGAAAACATACTGTTGTTATTTTGCAAAGGGACTTTTTTTCTTTAAGACATCACCAACCAAAGATATGTTCACCCTGCATGAAATTCTTCCCATCACTTTTGTCACAGTGCTTTAGATTCCACTAATTAGAAATTTATGTAGGTTAACAAGCTTCTGCTTTAACATGCAAATACCCACGAAAGTAGTCATCAGTCAGGGTAGCTAGAGAAAACCTGAGAAAATCTCTTGGGGGTTGTATTTTTATGCCTCACATACTAAGACTCCTGTTAGTCCCCAGACTAGTGTCTGAATTAGTCAGGGCTGTTGCTTACAGTTGAAGAAACTGCGCGTCACACAACTCCAGGGGGCACTGTGTGCTTCATCAATTTGCATCGCTGTTGCCACAGTTTTCCAGCAGATGGTAGTAAATGTGCAAAGTCATCCTATTGCTCTGTACCAAAATGACCTTTAGCTTTGAAATGTAAACTTAAAAAAAAAAAATTTTTTTTTTTAATGTGTTAGTTAGAACTTAGAATAAGTGATTGATTAGTTAGAATGAAATGGAGAAATGGGCCAGCTGGGCAAATCTGCTGGAGTTGATAAGAACAGTAACTCCATCCAGTCCTTTGGGGCGGGTGACCCACTGCCTCTCACTGCTCCATCATTGGTAAGGGATCCGCTGAGGGATAGGCTGTCCTTCCCACAGTGGAAGTATACAAGCCAGCACCTAAGAGAGGCAGCATGGCGTAGGCTGGGTTAAGGAGACAGACATGGCACTAAACTGTGGACCTGAATCTACTTCTCAGCTGTGTGACTTGGTCAAATCGCCTAAATTTTCTTAGTCTCCATTTCCACTCTTTGAAATGCTGCCTACCTCACAGGGCTGTTGTGGGAACTGATAGGGTGCCTGGCACAGGCTGGTAGTTCTTAAGCTTACAGACCAACAGGCTGTGGCAACAGGCTTCTCCCTGGCTCCTGCTGATGCTGTATGAGGGAGGCTGGCTGGGGCACATGCTGGCTCCAGGACAAAATCTCTTTTTCCCTACCTTCTGGATCAGTGATAAAGTGAGATTGTAGATTAATCTCAAAGTATGCTTGCGTGTGTGCGTGTGCGTGTGTGTGTGTGTGTATGTGTCTGCGTGTCCTTCTTGGCACTGGCCACATCAAAAGTAAAAGAACCTGAGTCAGATGTCTGTCCAGGCATGTGAACTGAACATATGTCACTAAGAGCATCACTCTCACTTGTGTATGAATGTTTAGTTTTAGTCTCCATTCCCTGGAGGAGGCCTAAAGGGAGTTGGATAATAGGGATGAGTGACAAGAAGGACAATTTTAGAACAGAAAGCTTACATGAAAGGCCAAAGAAGAGTTTTAGGTAAACCAGCCCCTCAGGAGTGCAGGATTGGGGTAGGGAGGGGAAGTCTAGGATGCTGAGGAAGTAAAATAATTGAGACAAAGTGCCTTTTTAAAACTTCTGTCCAATCCTCTCACTGGTCTTGCTTTACTTCCAAACCCAACTCCTTTTTTTTGGCTGAACTTTGAATGAAAAGTTTAAAGCAAAGAGAATTGACTTAAGGAAGATTAAATATTTGATATGCATAATGTGCTCTAAATATTTTTGTATATCTTAGGTCTCTATTTTTAGAGAAAAGATCTCTTCTGCTAGGAGGCCCTGTATGACTGATGTTGAAGAATTTGTTCAAAATGCATAGCTAATTTATGCATTGCCGGTTCTGTGGATAATTTAACTCAACTAGTGATTTGCTTGCTCCTTGGCTCCAAGAGGAACTTAAGATTTTTGGCTTTAGGGAACTTTTTCTCCATGTGCCATAGGCCAAACCATTTCTCCCTGGATGAGCATTAAAAATGGAAGGCCTCAGACTGACCCATATGAATGCGCAGAGTGAGTTCTCACATTAGCACGGGTTGGGTTTGGAAATGTGACCAAAATTTCTACAATCCATCTTAATATCCTTAAAAAAGAAAACCCCACACAAAATAAAGAAACTACCTCTCCCCCTTCAAAAAAAAAAAAAAAAAAAAAACACCAAAAAAACAACCCAGCTGGCTCAGCCATTCTGTAAACTGGAAACTTACCATTCCATTGAAAAATTACATATTTTCCCTGACCTCTGGGTCCCCAAAACCAGAATGTGACCTTCCTCTAGCAGTTTACCCACTAATCAGTGAATCTTGGCCTGCTAAACATTACAAAGAGGATAAGCATCCAATTTTTCTCCAAAAAATGTGAGAATGGCTATACTTGAATTTCTCTTTCAACAAGGAATGTCTGTTTACTTCCTAATGAACTAGGCCTATATCACTAGCCAGTAATCCATGCATCTTGGAATTATGATCCTAAAAAGCAAAACTGATTTCTCTAAAATAATTAACACCTCTTCTAGTTTTTTCAAATAAAAAAAAAATTTAAGGAGGTAAAGGCTAACATTTTTTGGCTAAAATTACTACATACCTCGGTCCTTCAAAGGATTTAGCTTCAAATGCTACACTTAGCCTATCCATGCTGCTGTTGCTACAAATATTTTAGGAATTCCTCTTTTGGGTTATAACCTGCACAGATGGCAGTGTTACGACCTTGAAACAAGTGGTCTTGTTGGGCCACAATTAGGGCACAATTATCTGATGCCCCACCAGAGATTATTATACCTTGAGGGTTAACTTTAAATGCCAACCTTAAACTCAAGGGTCTTGATTATTTTATTATTTTATTTTTACTTGTTCTCTTTTATTGAATTTATTAGGATGACTGTGGTTAACAAAATTATACAGGTTTCAGGTGCACAATTCCACAACACGTCATCTGTACACAGCTTTGTGTGTTTACCACCCCAAGTCAGGTTTCTGTCTATCACCATTTATCCCTCCTATACCCTCTTCCACTTCCTCCCAGCCTCTTCCCCTGGCAATCACCATGCTGTTGTCCCTGTCCAAGAGGCTTTTTCTCGTTTTCGTTTTTTGCTCAATCCCTTCACCGCCTCTCCCCACCCCAACAGTTGCCATCCTGCTCCCTATCTATGAGTCTGTTGGGTCTTGACTATTTTAAAATATTGAATCCACCCTCAAAAAGGTGAAGATTGAGCACCATTACAAAGAAGCAAATGGACATGTCACAGTCTCTGAAGATAATTCCGCAGTGGAATTCAAAGAATGTTCTGATGAGCAAAAGCACTGTTAGAATCCGGTCATGGGTGACCAACCACCCTGAGGAGAACAACCAGCTCACCCATACAGTACAGTTTTCACGTTGCGTAAATTGTACAACAAGGAGGAGGTGTGCAAAAGCTAAAGCAAGGTTGGGATCTACTCATCTACCCATCGAAAGGCGGATAACAATACCATGCCCTCTGCATCTTCCACTTACCTAGCACTTCTCCCTGCTTGCCTTCTGCAATTCTATCATGTCCCACTCAAGTCATAACGGTCAAACAGGAGAAGCATAAAAAGATAGAAGGGGACTAGCCCCAAACTGGGAGTCCAAGATCAAAAGTCATAAAAGTGCCTAATAGCCTTTGGCCACAGACAGCTCCTGTGCTAGTTCTGAAGGAGCTAGGAGAACTTCAGTGCCTTCTGGGTCAGACATTTACCTGTTGTTTCTCAGTCCCATGCCTGACACTCTCCTGTACTCCATTTTGTAATTCTGCAACTGTGAGTCTTCGAACTACATTTCCCGAAATCCTTTGCCCGCTGTCTTCTGGTGTGTTCTGACTGAGAGATACTGCTGGGAGACTGGAACGTGTGATGAGGAGATAAGGGTCTCTCTAGCTGCCTCTGTTCTGTCCTCATCCTCCAATAACGGCAGATATTTAGGGCTCAGTTATTTTTCAGCACTCAGCACCAACCCCATGTTAGGGGTCCCTGCAACAGCCACGTTGAGGACCCACCTCTGCATTCCTTGGTTGGTAACTCTCCCTTTTCCTTCTTGTTCCTCCAATTCTAGGCCCGACAGCTATTTCTTTCATTTACCAATCTTTAGGTTTTCTTGATTTCCCCTTTTTGCTTCTAGCCTTCTAACGCCTATGTATCTATTTCCCTATATCTAATTTCCTCTGTTTAAAACACCCAAAGTGTTCTCATTTTCCTCAGGATAATTTGACTGATTCACCTTCTAAACGGATCTCCTCGAAGCATGCAATCCATCAATAAAAATAAAAGAATATAAAATAAATTTCAGTGATCTCAAAAGTACCACTTATTTGCAAGGGAATGATATCATACTTTAGGAAAACTAAGATAGGAGCAAGATCTCTGGGGCACAATTATCAGATGCCTCAGCTGGAAATAAATATTCCTTTTGAAGAGTTGTTAGATTTTGAAGGAATAATTTCATGACATCATTTCCTGTTTGGTCTCTGCAGCTCTAACTTGCTCTGGAAAGCTCAGAAGGAAATGGTTTGTTGAACAGTCCAATTGCCTTTTTCTCCATAAAAACATAGTCACACTGGAGGCCAATGATTACAGCTTCATCACAGAGCTAATTGTACTTGTCGAGCTGTGCCATGCATTTCCCACAGTCAGCAACCCTGAGAGCCCCAGCATGGCTGGAGCTGCTCCAAGCGTGGGCCTATTTATCTGGACACTTAGAAGCTCTCCCAAGATAGAACAGCTGACCCTTTTGTGTGTCCCACAAATTCTTTCCCCAGTAGAGAAGGAGTCACTTCTGTTTTATTTTCCCTCAAATGAATTTGGAAGCAAAGGTTATTACCTCCATGTGATAAAGACTATTAACCAGTCAGATATGGTAGCTTCTACTTATTGTGGGTGTACTATAGGCTAGCATTTTACATATGTTTCTTATTACATTAGTGCTCACAAGTAACTGCCATTTGATAGACAAATAGGATGGGTCTATTTTATATCCTAATGCGTGAGCATTTGCAGACACCAGTGTCCAGGAGGGATTTGTTTTTCAGCTATAGGAGAATTCATAGTAATGGCATTTATTATATTCCTCTTAAAACCCCTAGTGGAACAGAGGAATGTTGCAGGATCCTTGGCATAGAGGGAGGGAAGATTATTAAACGCCAGTCAAATTTGGGGTTGTCTGAAAGCACTAAAAACATGGAATAAGGGATTAGAGAGTCTAATATGGGTGATACAGCAGTGGAGTGGTAGAAGAAAATACAAATCCTATTATTCTTAACCTCATCTTTAGAATTTCAGTGTATGAGTGTATGTTTTCTGATGTGTATAATATATTTGAGCAGGAATATCTTACCACAATAGAATGATGATATTACTGGAACTAATTCTTTACACCTTCCTGTATCCAAGCTGTTTGCTATGTAACTTCACCATGCTTTCCTATAATGGGTGGGCTCACCTGCCTTGCCTTGCCCTTAGACTCTGAGTTTGGCCTTGTGGCTTGCTTTGGACGATCGGTTGAGCAAATGACATTAAAAGGGAAGCTTATGCAATGCTTGCCTGATTGGGCTTGCATTCTCTCTTGTCCTTAGCCATGACCATGGACACATGTCTGCTGGAGAATGAAAGATACGTAGCCTAGCTGCCGCCTTCTGTCAGCCAGCTGGAATGATGTGAGTCCAAATGAGCAGAACCTTCTAGTGGAGACCAGCTTAACTTAGAATTTATGAATCACTAAATACACATGGATCATGGGTGTGTGCTCAAAAATTTTAAATAAAATGCTTGAAGACTATTTGATCAGTTACTTCTAGGATTCCACTTCTCAGATTCTCATGTTTTCTTAGTCGTGTCTATTTATATGAGTTTCTTTTCATTGTTCAAATTTTACCTAAATGTCATCTTCCAAGAGGGTAGATTCTGCCACCCAAGTCGCTCTCAATCCTATTATCCTATACAAGGCACACAAACTTCTGAAATTATTTATTATCTTTCTCCATTAGAACATAAACTCCACGGGGGGAAAGAACTTCACCTTTCTTTTTTCTGTCACTCAGTGTCTCTAGTGTTTAGGATACTAGACACCCTGGAAGTGCTCAAAAGATTTTTGCTCAGTGAGTGAAGGAGATGGATTTCTGTGAGTAAGACAAGGAATTGGTCCTAATATTTTGCTTTCCATCTATACAAGGAAACAAGACATTTTGTCTGCATCATTTTGACAGTATTCTTTTCTCTTTGCTCTACTGAGAATACAAACCCTTAATACCCAACATGCAATGTCAGCATAAGTAATAAGAAGAACTAGGTTACTAAAACATTAGTCCTGGGGATCAGAGTAGTCCTCAAATGCTCAAGGGTAATTGTTCTTATAGATTAGTTTAGAAATAAGTACAAGTTATCAGTCTTTTTATCTAAGTCTTAATGATTTTTTACTAGTATAAATAACTCTTAGAGAATAAAATGGGCAAAGGCTATTGATAAAGGTCGAAGTTGGGAAATGGTAAGGTTGAAATGTACCAAATTTGGTTTGTGAAAATAGTGCCTGATAGAAAGGCCACAAAAGAAAACACATATTAGTAAAAGTAGTAAGAGGTAAAATTTATTGTAAATATAACTTGAATGTTGATTAAATTTTTATTTTGAAACTTATGGAAAACTCTGGTATTGAGTAAAATAACTTTAGCTAATTTAAAAAGGGGATAACTTGTAAGTTAAACATCTTTGTATATTAAGCTAATCAAGAAATTAAGTGGAATCAATGAGCATTCACTCCAGGAAATTTTTAAAAATCTAGTATTAGAGGCAAATTTTTAAATAAAAATCTTTACATTAATATACAAGAGGTAAAAAAAAGGTTTTGTGGGCTAAAGTTGTAGTATTAGAGAGTCAACTGGGTCCAGCCTATATAAGCTAATCTCCTATGACATTTAACTAGATGGAAACCTGACTCTCTAAAACTTGGAATTATATCATCATCATGTGGATTTGCTCTTTTCCCTTCCTACTGTACTCACCTCCAAAGTAAATGTCACTTGCTGGGGACAAATTATCCTCTATCACTCCATCTGTACACACAGTTTACCTACTATGGAGATGACCTTTTGTCATTTGGAATATGATCAGAGGAGCGGCATTTGGCTAGTTTGTTTGCAAGAGCCTCACATCATCCCTTCACTGAAGAAAGCTCACGGATCCTGCAGTGCGTGTGAGCACTTGCTTTCCAGGGGAGCAAGGAAGGCTCAGTGAATGGCAGAGCTCTCCATCCTCCCCTCGTAGAGACAAGGAAACAGAGGATAGGGAGTGAGGGAGTGAGGTCGCACAGCTCATTATTTAGGGTTGCAGTTAATTATTACCACAGCTGACACTAGAACTGAAATAGAAATCTGCATCCTAGAAAACTACATTGTTAGTAGCCCTGGGTTGGTTCAGATCAGATGTTCACCCGAGACTCTGGATTCTGATCTACCCAATGTTAATGTTGAAAATATTGACTTCCTAACCTGGGAAAAACGTCACATTTGCTTAATGTCTTTCAAGGCATTACAATAATTTACTTAAGAAAATACAGAAACCATACACCTAGTTCTTTCCTGTGCACACACGTCAGCTTATTCATTATCCTGGGAAGACCCAGTCGGCACTTCCAGGGATTCAGGGCTTTTCCAGGCATTCAGTTTTGCATCCCAGAAATACAGATATGTGAGTAAATGGGATAAATTGTTATAAAAAGGGAAACACCAAAGAAAGTAATGTCAAAAGTAACTCGCATATGAACAGTTCAAGGCCTGTGGAAGAACTTAAGCATGGAAGAGGAAGTGCCGGGGTGTGCAAGGGGCATGGGCTTTGCACGTGGGCAGGCCTGGGCTTCAGTCCTCATCCTGGATTCAGCTGAGGGTCTGCACTCAAACTTTCTGCATATCTGTCCTTCTTCCTATAGAATGAGGCAATAATATCAGCTCCTGAAAGAATTCCAGTGACATTGGAGCAAGTTTCACTTTTAGATGCTTCTTTATACACTCAGATTTAGCTAGAACCAGTGGGATTTCAGCTAGGGTTGACAGGGTTCAGTCAAGTCTTACTTCCCCTCCTGAATAAATATACAGTTTCAAAAAAACAAACAAACAAAACAAAAAAGAAGCCACCTCCAATTTGCCCTGTTTTAAATAGAAAGCGTGATCATAACCACCTCATAGGGTTAAGATAAAGTTATATTATAAACTACTTAGGATAATAGATGTTCAACGACTGGTGATTAACAACAAGAGTGATGATGAGGAAGCTTCCCACATACATCAACAATGAATCCTCCTCAAAACCTGCCTGTTATGCGTTTTAAAACTAAATCTAGGTTTGGAGAGTCCTAGGATCAAGTCAAATTCAGTTACTTACTGGACTGAAGTGCCTCTGCCTTTCCAGTGCTCGAACACTCACCTCTGTTTCTGTTCGTTGGAAGCAGCAATGGTGTAGTCCTTGCGCAAGACAAGGGAAAGATCAGGGGATGAAGACAGGAAGCGAATAACCAAGGAATGGGAAGGCCGGGGAAGAGGTTGGAACGTCCAAGGTCATGGTACTCACCACGGCCCACCACCAGGCATGGGGGATGCTGGTGAAGTTGGTGCTGGGCATGTCGTGCTCCACGGAGTAGACTGCAGCGGAGAAGGCGAAGATGCCCATGGTGATAAAGAGCAGCAGGCAACCCACCTGCTGGTAGCACTGGCGCAGTGTGAAGCCAAAGGCGCGCAGGCCAGTGGAATGTCGCGCCAGCTTGAGGATGCGGAAGATGCGCATGAGGCGCATGATGCGCAGCACCTGGCCCACCCTGCCCACTGTCTCGAGGTCATGCTCCCTCGAGGAACCCTTGCCACGCCGCTGGTCCTCGCCTGTGAAGCACTCGAGCAGCAGCTGTAAGTAGAGCGGCAAGATGGCCACCAGGTCCACGAGGTTGAGGGCGCTGCGCACGAAGCGCCGCAGGTCAGGCGTGGAGGCCAAGCGCAGCAGGAACTCAAGCGTGAAGAAGGCGATGCACAGCATTTCCACGTGCTCCAGGATGGGCCACCGGCCGCCCCGCTCTGCCTGCTGGTGCATCTCTTCCACCGTGTTGAGTGCCAGTGCCACAATGGAGATGAGCACGAAGAGGCTGGAAGCCACCCCGATGGCCTTGGCAGCCACCGACGAGAAGGGCTTCTCCATGAGGTTCCAGAGGCGTTGCCGCTGCGGGCCATAGAAGCGCACGTCGCGGAAGAGCTCCTCGGCCTCTTCAGCCTGTGCCTGGGCACGCAGTTCACGCTGGATCTTGAGCTGCTCGCACAGCTCGTCGCGGCGCTCCTCGAAGCAGATGCGGCAGCAGCGGGGGGTGTACTTGAGCCGCACGCCCCAGTAGCCCAGTTCCTCCAGGAAGCTGCGCGGGCACAGCTCATCACGGACCAGCAGCACCCCAGACACATAGAAGTTGTAGATAAGCTGGAAGATGGTCGGGTCACGGTCGAAGAAGTATTCGTCCGTCTGATCCTCGTAGTCATCGCACAGGCCCAGCTGGAGGCTGTGGCTGGTGGAGGTGGCCAGGCGGCCCAGGCGCGTCTTGGGGTGGCAGGCCAGCTCCGTGTAGTGCAGGCGGTAGCTCTGTCCACCCACGTTGACGTTCAGCATGGAGTTCTCGGTGCAGGCTTTGGTCTGGGTGGTGGTGGCTTCCTCTGGCTGCTGATCCTCTTTGGCCAGGTCATCCTTCCACTGCTCCTCTTCGTCCCCATCCTCGTCCTCCTCGAAGTAGTAGTTATAGCTGCCCTCGGTCCATGGCGGGATGCTGGCCTGGGAGCCCAACTGGGCCCCCAAGGAGCAGAGGCTCCTGCGGTGTTGGCTGTTCCCTGATTTGGGTGCGTCGTCACACTCGGGCGTATTCCACGGCCTGTAGCATGAAGACCGCCTCCTCTCGCTGTGTTTCAGCATGACTGCAGGAAGGAGACCCCTTGCTTTTCCTTCCTGGTTGTTGGGCTTCCGGCCTGCTCGCTGCCACTAGGAGGATGGGTCATGTGCCCTACATTGTCTTACAGAGGATCGCAGACCTAGGGCTGCAGGCATGGTCTTCAGAAGCGCCCTGCCTCAGGCTCTGGGCAGCCCGGCCCAGGCTGTTGGGTTTGAACACATATGCAGATGGCTGTTGACTGCTCTAATCTTGCTGAGAAGGAAGAAGCTAGTGTTAGAAGGGATTTAGAACCTCTTAGCTTGTTTCCTCCCCCCCCTCCCCCGTCCCTCCACTTGGTGACGTAAAGGATGATTATGTGGTCTTAAATCGTAGCTAATCAGAAGGTGGCAGGGATTATTGCTAATAAAAATGTGGGGCACCCATTAGGCCTTCTCTTAAGAAGTGCTCATTCCTATGCTCAGATGAAATCTACTGAATTAGTTATAGAACATGGGTCAGTTTCGGTTTTAAACTCCTTTTTTCTCTCTGTTTCTGTCTGCCTCTTTCTCACCGTCTCTTCTCTTAAAGGTAGAATCCCAGGACTAGTGGGTAGGTGTTCCTAGAGCCTTGCAGCCCTGCTCAGCCGCCAGTGTGAGGCCATATGTGAAGGTGGCCACACTTCCTTCCAAGGAAAAGGTCTCCATCACTCTTCAAGGCATCACGATTTTTTAGAGTCTCTTTTCAAATGCAAGGCACTGTGCTGGATGACGGAAATGGAAACTCAGTGGAGACCCAGTTGCAGCCCTCAAGTTGCTTATGGTTGTATAGGTGATATAAAAATGCAAGCGCAATAAAAGAGCAAGGATAAAAATACAAGGATATCAGAGAAGAGAAAGGGATTTGCTTTGAGCAGGGAATTTGTTTTTAAATTCAATTTATTTTGATTAGCTAATACATATTTATGAGATAAAATTCAAAGGGTACAAAGGTGCATCACAGCAGAAAGTTTCTCTCTCTCTCAACACGAACTTACAGCTATTAAGTGTGACTCTGAGGAGGCAACCACTATTAGTACTTTATGGTTAGCCTTCAAGAAATATTCTAAATATATGCAGGCAAAAACCTATTTCCATCTCTCATCTGAATAGCTCTCTATTATTAACACAAATCATAATATACGTTACACTTTGCTTTTTCCAATTAATCATATATCTTAGAGGTGTTTTATATCTGAACATAAATATCTGCTTCGCTTTAAAAATACCTACCTAGTAGTCTGATAGTGATAACATTTTGTCTTTGTCTCATAAACAATGGTGCAATGAATAACCTTATACATACATTACTTTATATACATTAAGATATATGAATGATAACTTGTTAGAGGTAGACTTTCTAGATTAAATACCTCATATATGTAATTTTGATTGATAATGGCAAATTTTCCTCATAAAAGTTTACCAATTTTTAACTCACAATCAATGTATAAGAGCGTATTATCACATTTCATGAGTTCTTTCCATTTTATATGTGAAAATATGTGGGTTACTTTTAATTTATGTTTCTCTTATGAATGCACTTGAACATCTTTTCATGTGATTGAGCTGTATTTCTTTTTCTATTTTTCCACTGAGTTTTTGGTATTTTCTTCCTGATTTGTAGGAAAGCTTTATTTATCACGAAAACAGACCTTTCGCCTGTGATATGGACTACAAATATTTTTTTCTGAGTTTATTTTATGACTTCTGGTTTTATGTCATTTTAGAAGAGTCTCTACTTCTCTATAATTCTTTTTAAAAAGTCTTCTGATGGCTTTATTTTTCATATTTAAGAATTTAACCTACAGGAGTTAATTTTGAAGTAAAGAGCAAAGTAGAGACCCAATTTTATGTTCAGGCTTTTTATTTGGCTTTCCCAACACATTAACTGAAGAGTCCGTTTCTCCTCACTGAGTTGTAGAGCTCTCTATCATGTACTTCAGTTTTAACTGTACTTCGAAGGTGCTGGGACAGGTAACAGTTGCTACAGGGTCTGTTCCTGCTAGTATAACATTCACTGATGTTGTTTAGCTTCCAACAAGGCTCAGAGCTGCAAACTTCAAATAAAATGTCTCACCAGGATTAGTCTTTAAGTTCCTCAATGTATTTCTAGTGTTCTGTTGGCATACAAAACTGATGTTCTTTCTGTAGCCAGTTAGTTAATGGTTTTTCCAATTTAATCTCTTCTTTATATTGTGCCAACTACTTGTCACAATTGTTTTTATATGTTACATGAATTCACTTTATTCCTTCAGGATCAATTATACTATCATCAAGAGGAAAGGTATTATTATTTTTCTACTTTTAATTTTCTCTCAAGACTAACCATCATGCTATAAAATAGCATATACATAAAAACCACCTAGTCTTACTATCCAAAGACAATCCCCTTAATTTTTTAACCTGTCTCCTCCCATTTAATCACACACACACATTTAACCTGCTTGTGGTCATATAGGATATGCAATTTTGCATCCCACCTCTCTCATTTAACATTTTAACATAACCATTTTTGATATTTAAAAAAATACTTTGTAAAACAAACAAACAAACCCGGAAGCAAAAGCTGAGTCATAAAGATATGTTATAGTAAAAAATAAACTAAAATAAACTAAAAATAAGAAAAATACTTCATAAGCATTATTTTAAATGGCTACAAAATTCTATATTGGGGATGTACCACATATAATTTAACCAAATCTCTTTTATTAAAATAGAGAGTTTTTAATATTCTACTGTTATAAGTAATGATATAGTGAAATCGTTGTTTGAAAGATTTGGCTTTTGTTGTTGTTATTTTGTATTCTGTGTTGTTCCTTGAGATAGCTGCGCCAAATTTTTAGGCCATTCTCTCTTAACGCCCACCCTTCCCATGTGCTTGCTGTCCATGCCCTTTAGGACACTTCCTCCAGCCGCCCTGAGTCCTCTTCCTCTGGCTGACTCCTGCGCACCATTTCACAGATGGAAGACTACCTCCTCTTATCCTCTCCTCTCGGGTAGCCTTCCCTAATCACCTAAGGCTGAATTCCGCTTTCTTCACAAGTGCTTTTCTAACATCTTTGCTTTGCCTCTCACAGCACTTTTCACGAAAGCTTGTCTGCCTATAAACGAGACGAGGCTGTGTAAGTTCCAGAAGGACTGGACAGTGTCTGCTTTGTTCAGTGTGTACCCCATGGAGCTAGCCCAGTGCCTGGCATGTAGCGGGCACTCAAAGAATATTACCTGAAAGATTCAAATATTTCATGCACATTGCCCCCTTGCTTGCCTATTTACATTAATTTATACTTTTATCAATAAGATATGGGAGTGTTTCTTTCACAGTAGCTTAGCTAGAATATCACCATTATTGTTACTTGCTAATTGGTAGGTAAAAATGGCATGACATTTTTGTTTTAACCAACTCTGTGTTATTTATTTATATGTTCCCCACTGGCCTCTATAATCTTTAAGAATAAAGACAGTCTTGTCTTTGTAATCCTAAAACCACATAGAGTGTGAATATGCAGCGATAAAAAATATACCTATTGAAGGGATATGCAAGATCTCTCTGTATTAGTTCTTCCAACTGCATGTGAATCTATAATTATCTCAAAAGAAAATGTTAAAGCTTTATTGCTCTGTACGGATATAGCCCCAATCCCCACTTTGAAGGGAGAGAACACTAGTGAGCTTTGAGGAACTGTGGCTGGGAATCCCACCTGCTTTTCCTGGGTGAAATTGATACCATTGGCACGGTTGATACAACAGAAAGGACATTGGGATTCAGTCTTGATTTTGCATTCTGGTTTCAAAGCTTTGAGTAAATTACGTAACTGCTGTTCATTCCAGTTTTCTCATCTGTAAAATGGGTTGTTAGAGGACTGCCTGCTGGTATAAAAAGGCCCCCTACGACTAGCCTGGCATGCAGTACTCACCAAAAGATGGTCATCTCTCCCTCGTCTGGCTACTTCCTACCCCAGTCTTGATTCTATACCTAGAATACACAGATGTATTTATTTTTAGCCCCTATAAATTTTCTCAGCATGGAAATGATGATCACATTCACAGTCCACTACTAAAATTAATTTTTTTTTGTTAAGGCTAATAGAACTTTCTGTGTTGACAGAAACACTCTTATGGCACAAAACAGGACAAGTGTCACTGAGCAAAAGAATTTTAAATTTTACTTAATTAATTTATATTTAACTTTAAATAGTCACACATGTCTAGTGGCTACCATGTTGGACAAGGCAATGTAAAGATATCATCTGTGTCTGGATCAGATGCTTATAAACATGCCCAAGATGCTCCACAAGGAGCAATGAACTTTTAAGACATTAACCCCTTGGTCATATGAGTTAGCCAACATGAGCTGACCTACCACTTCTAAGACTAAAGGAAATGATACAAGGGAAAATAATCTTAATAGGACAATGAATGAAGCAATGGGATGGGATTGAGAAGTCTGAGTAGGGGGACTTGGGCTGGGGGCATTTGAGAACGGATTCAGTTTCAGAATGGCTTGGGAAGAGAGTAGTAATAAAAGGGAGAAACTAAGGCAAATGGTAAGAACAACAAGGTTGCTGAATATAAATACTTTTGTAAATTTACTCAGACCTAGTCCTGAAAGGCAGAGAATGAGAGAGAGGGGTTTAGCATTTACTTGGAAAACTTATATGCATTTCATAAAGGCCTTTGAAGTCCTTGTCAATAAAGGGCTAAGATTATAATTGAATACCAAAGCCAAAACAAAGAAATCACCAAAAAAATCCAACAATCTCTCCAACTTCCAATAAAGGAAAAAAAAGTATATATTTTAAAGTCTTTGCTAGCCTGGTAAATTTTTCCAGTTGCTTGAATTATTTAGGTATTTGCTCACCTCCTTCTCTTTAGATTTGCTCCTGGTATAGGTGAAGTGTGCAACGACCAGGAACAGCGATTGGTTGCGAAGTGTCTTAGCTGAAATTTGTGCTGACTCGCCAAAATTGTCTGTGAGTTTGGAAAAAGGAAGAGAGTGATGGGGAGAA